TTACACATATAAAAACACATGGGACTTGCTGAGAGGTGGAGATGGGCTTCTGACTCCCAGGCGTGGACAACATTCCCAAAAGCACCTCCCTGAAAGTGGGGGAAACCTGGGAGCTCTGAGGAGAGGAGAGAGAGGGTGGGAAGAAGGTGGAGGCAGGGAAGTGGGGATGGGGCCCAGGCCCCAGTGGGGTGTTGGGAAGGTGGGCTTCTACTGGGGTTTGCCCATCCATAGCTTTGAGAGAGGATTTCTTTATTTCTTTCTTTATTTTTTTAAAAGATGACCGGTAAGGGGATCTTAACCCTGGACATGGTGTTGTCAGCACCACGCTCTCCCAAGTGAGCAAACCAGCCATCTCTATATAGGGATCTGAACTTGTGGCCTTGGTATCATCAGCACCACACTCTCCCAAGTGAGCCACGGGCTGGCCCAAGGGAGGATTTCTTCAGTGTCTAACAAGAGAGGACTCACGGCAGGCTTAGCAATTAACATCTTGCAGTAGGTGTTTAATAAACTTCCTGAATGGACGGATGGTAGAATTAATGGAGGGCTGTATGTAAGAACGAATCAACCATGGCTATTCAGTGGGGGGGGGTCTGGGCACANTTCTTCTCAGCCTCCATTAGCTCCTGGATCTTCTGGGGTATGGTCTTTGTCCAGAACTGGATCCTGCGGGCCCTCAGGGCCTGGCCCACTGCAGGCTGTATATTCAGCTGCAGATATCGCTCCTCCTGGTCAAACACGGGCCAGTGGGGCAGACCCTCACCATTGGGGTTCCTGTAGACATGCCCGGCCAGCAGGGAAAGAAGAGGGTCACTGTGAGCCCTGCCAATACCAAACCTGCCGGCCCTGACCGGGTCAGGCCAGGAAGACAAGCAGGCCAGGTGGGCTTGGGGATAGAGGGGGAAGGATTCCAGATATAGCTGGGAAACTGCCTCCCAGTGGTGTCAGCGCCATGGGGTGGGCGTGGGGGGCAGGCAACCTGGTCTGTTTTGTCCCTCACTCTCAGAGGGGGGCTGTGACAGCACCACAGCACTTTGCCCATCCTAC